TGACACTTGCAGGGAGATGTGATTACCCCCATCCTTTTGTTTTTTACAGACACATCATTGAGGACAACTTGAGCTCCGTAAAAAGACAACCCCAAAATTGGTCAAAAGACAGCCCTTCCTAAAAATTAAATAAAAGTTTGCATCAAAAGACAGTATGAACACAATAGCTAAAACATAAAAAAGGCAAACCATAGAACGGGAGAAAATATTTGCAAATTGTATATCTAACAAACAAGCGATTGATATCCAGAACATAATGAGAACTCCTAAAAGTCAACAACAAAGAAACAAACAACCCAACTCAAAAACTGGCAAAGGACTTGAATAGATGCTTCTCAAAAGGATGTAAACAAAGGGCCAATAAGCACATGGAAAGTGTCCAACATCACTACTCATTAGAGAAATGGAAGTCCAAACTATAACGAGATGCTACTTGACACCCATTAGGATGGCTACAATCAAAAAAACAGAAAACAACAAATATTGGGGAGGACATGTAGAAATTTGTTCCCTTGTGCAGTGTTGGTGGGAATGTAAAATGGTACAGCTGCTGTGCAAAACAGGATGGTGATTGCTCAAAAAATTAAAAATAGAATTACCATATGATCTAGTAATTTCACTTTTGTGTAAATACCAAAGAAACTAAAATCAGGGTCTCAAAGAGATATTTGTTCACCTATGTTCATAGCCACATTATTCAACATAGCTAAAACATGGAAGCAACCCCAGTGTCCATCGATGGATGAATGGATAAGCAGAATGTGGGATATATATACAATGGAATACTATTCAGCCTTAAAAAGGAAGGAAATTCTGACATGTGGCACAACATGGATGAACCTCGAAGACATTGTATTAAGTGCAATAAGCCAGATACAAAAAGGCAAATACTGTATAATTCTGCTTGGATGAGGTACTTAGTCAAATTCATAAAGACAAAAAGTAAAATGGTGGTTGCCAGTGGCTGGGGGGAGGGCGAATGGGGAGTTATTGTTTAAAGGGTACAGAGTTTTTGTTTTACAAGGTGAAGGGTTTTACAAGGTGAAGGGTTTTTTGGAGACGGATGGTGCTGAAGGTTGTGCAGCGTTATGAATGTATTTAACACCACTAGACTGTACACTTAAACGTGGTTAAGATGGCAAATTTTATATTATGTGTATTTTACCACAATAAAAAGAAATTGTGGAATAAAAGGACAATCCTCACTTCCAATTCTTCTCTCAAGCTATTTAATGTAGAGAAAAGAGGCCTGTTTTCCAGCATTGTTGGGCTGGGAATGAAATTGCACAGGGGACTTGGCGGGAGGGGGGTGTCTGAGGGCTAAAGATTGATGCTTCTAAGAAAACCGGGACTTTTTCATAAATGTATATACATATAATTGCATGTGAAAATCAATTAAAATTAAAAAAAAAACAACCACAAACTATTCCGCTGTGTCTTAAAATATCAGACTCTATGGAATTCTACAGAGTTCTAGGGACATTGTTTAATTTAAATCTAGCATAAGTGCTATGTGTGCAGTTCTGCCCACTTGCCAAAACTGCTCGGAAAACATCGGCTCCTGATGACCGAGCAGTTGCACATCTAAATCTGTCTCTGCTCATTTCAGCTTCAGTTCCCTTTTCTAGAGAGCATGTTCTTAGAACTTGATTAGTGTACATCGAAATCACCTGGAGAGCTTGTTAAAGCATACAGATTTCCAGGCCCTTCCCCTTTGAGATTTTGATCCAACTGGCTCAGTGGGGCTCGGGAATCCGTATTTTGAGTAGCACCCCTGCCTTCAAGTGTGTTGAAGTAAACACTGGAAAGACAGCAGGCTCATAGTAGCATAATGGAAGACACGATCAACAAAAAGAATTATTTATATAGTAATATAGGGAGACTACAGACAACACAAACTACTGTAGAACTTCAAATGGTTACTCAGGAGGATGTCGAAGGTTCCCAACACAAAGAGGTGACAAATGTTCGAGGGGATGGATATGCTAAATACCCTGATATGATCATTGCACACTGTATAAATGTACCCAAATATCATATTGGATTTCATAAATATATACAATTATCATGGGTCAATTAAGAAAAAATAAATTAAAAAGAAGATGTCAGAGACAGAAGTAGGTTAGATGTTACCAAAAATGGGGGGTGGGGTGGGGGGAGAAATAATGGGAAAATAATGAATTGCTTCATGGATACAGAGTTTATGTTTAGGATGACAAAAAAGTTTTGAAAATAGAGGAGATGGTCATACAGCATTGTGAGTGTAATTAATTTTACACAATTGTATATTTTAAAATGCTTAAAATGTCAATCCTTATATATATTTTACCACAATAAAAAAAATTGTCAGGTCGGTGCAGTTCTGTGGTAGCAGTTCTTATCTTGGTTCTCATAATCACCTGAGGAGCTGATGTCATACCTGATACCAAACAAGAAAAATTCCAAATATTAAAAATGCAACCAACATGGAAGAAAACATAGGAGAATTATTTCGCAACCTCAGAGTAGAGAAAGACTGTTGAATTATGACTCAAAATCCAGAAGCCATAATAAAGATTGATATATTTGACTACAAAAAATAAAAATCTACATGGAAAAAAATGTCAGCAAGCTCAAAAGACAAATTTAAAAAACAAGAAAAAACATTTGTAATCTCAACACAAATAAAAGGTTTATCCCTCTAATATATAATTTAATAAGAAAAAGACCAACAAACTAATAGAAAAACTAATGAACGTTTTCAAAAAAGGAATTAGAGATGGCTCTTAGTTATGTGTGAAAATATGGTCAAAATTTACTGATAATAAAATAAGTGCAAACTAAAATATGTCACCACAGTTTTTACCTATTATCTTAGCAAAATTTTAGGAGATTGATTATGCTGTATTGACAAAGACTTTGAGGAAATAGGCTCTCATACATTGATGGTGTAAGTATAAATTTCCTTTGATGGGAAATTTATCAATATCTGTCAAAATTACAATTATGCACAGTCTTTGACCCACTATTTCAAGAAATTTATTCTACATGTATGTGACACACAGCCAAGGGTATTTTTTACAGTATTGTTTGCAATAGAAAAAGGTTGAAAACAACCTAAATGCCCATCAATAGGGGATTGACTAAATACAGCATGCTACATTTATACAAAAAAAGACTAGGAGACTATAAGAAATAAGTTTATACCTCTTAATGCATTGATATAGAAAAATCAGAAAGGACCCACTAGAAGGATACACAAAATAAATGTTACTATGGGGAGTACTAGGCAGATGAGAAACAGTGTGGAAGGAAGAATCAAATGTATTAACTATTCAAAACTTACTTTATTTACATAACTAACCAAGGAGGCTGTTAAACACGCATGGGGTTTTACCCAACCTCAACCCTATTGAAATCGAATCTCCAGAAACAAGCACCTCTATGCCCTAACCCTAAGGGTGTATTGAGTTCTTTCTTAGGAAAAGATCCATATCCCTTCAGCTCTAGTTTCTGAGTTTAGAGTAACAATCCAAAGCATCCCCCACCTGAAAGACCGAGTAGAGAGAGAACACGCCATCTGCCCTAGTTTGTTAGGATGGATGTTATAATTATTATAAGGCATCCAGAAAACAATTTGTACAATTTGTGGCCAGGGATCAAGCAGTAGACTTAATATTTGTAAAATCTCTGCATTTTTGTTCTACTTTAATTTAGTTTTAGAAAATGATTCCAAGTCAGAAGAAGCAGTGTGGGAATGAGTTTGGAATGTCAGGGGCTCTAAAACAAATTCTTTCCCAGCCCCTGCTGAGATACCAAACAGATTCCAAAGACAGAGGCTGAAAGGATAGAATATTCTCAGTCAAATCTCCTGAGGAATTATGCAGAGATCCAGACTTGATGATTTAGAAGGGCTCCTCTTTCCCCAACAAAAAATAAGCAGAAAGGCCTTCACAATGGGCCTGCAGAACAGCCAAAGAAAAAGAGCCTATTCATTAAGCTACAAGGAGGCCCTGACGACTGAGATGTCCCACATAAGTTATTTTTCTGGATAATCAATATGTCCTACATTAAACAACTCCTTCACTTAAAATAAAAATCATTTTCAGTGGAACCTTTTCCAAAGTGCATTTCGCACATCCCTGACCTGTTGAAGAGTTCATGGAATAGTATTTAACCTTTACAACAAATAACAACACTAACAATTATGTACTGTCTATGTCCCAGGCATTATCCAAAATGCTTTCCATCAAATATTCTTAGTCCTCAAAAAATCCTTATGAATGAAGTCCTGTTATTATTCCTATTTTCCATATGAGGCTTGGAGTGATTAAATAAATGTCCAAGGTCATACAGCAAATAACGGGAGGGGGAGAAGGAGCAAACTCTCTCTCCAAAGCCAGAACTCCTAAGCACTGTGTTGTCTGTTCTTTACAACTTCCATTATTGAGCATATGCCGTCCTCCCCAATCCCAACAGGTAGGCAGGAATGCTAGCTGGACCTCTATTAGATGATCTGAGCTCTCATTGCTTTTCTCTCCATACGTTCCTTCTCCTTCATCAGTATTATACTCTTAGTTTTCAGATGAAGGTGTTATCAGTACACTACACACCCTGCCAACCCCCTCCGCCACCCCCCTCCGCAAAAAATCCCCTCTTATCTAAAATCTGATAAAAGTCTTTGTTTTTACTATTTTAAACTCTCAACCTTCTCAGATCTTTCTATTGGGCTAAAATAGTGCAGGGAGTTGGACCAACTTCTTTATCAGTTTAAGAACCCCCTCTGGTTCCCTGCATTTCAAAGTGTCCTGAATTTGCTTTTTCATAACACAGCTCAGAAGGAAGCCCACAATGCTCATTAGATTAACAAAAACAGCCCTCAGCTGGGGTCCATTTGGACTGCAGTGGCCCTCCAAAAATACAACTACAGTGCAGATAAGCACCCAGGCATGCGGAGAGTTGATTTCTGTAAGGCTCCTCGTCTGGCTGGCCTGCGGAGAAAAAGGAATCACCATCCTTACCCCGTTTTCAAGCTGACCAAGGCGTCCTCTACTCCCTTCTGATTAAATTTGGTCATGTACTGATGCATGTAGGGGTAGTTATTCCGAATGTTTCTCTCCGTACTTCCATTAGGCACTGTCCCAAATCGAAAAGGTGGGGAATAGTCATGAGGTCTCTGAAACTGAAGAGAGAGAGAGAGAGAAAGAGTGAGGAAAGAAGAAAGTATGGAGGAAGAAATTAGTGATCCTTTTGTCTGCTGTCAGAAGTTAAGCACATGCATGCGTTAACACAGGACAACACAAAATATTAATTTTTGTGCCTTCTTACTTAATCTCATCTTTCACTAGTCTGTGAGCTCCAGGAGGGTGGAAACAGTGTCTATCTTCTTCTGTACTATTTTTCAGTTCCTAGCACAGGGCCTGGCCTGTGCTCAATAGATATTTGTCGACTGAATTTTTCTGGGCCATTGTAGAGATTAGCATAGGGCTAGGCACACAGTCAGTGCTTAGTAAATGCTTACTGAGCTGGAATTAAGGTACTGCTACAGTCCAGTTCATTTATCTCCCTTATGGTGACATTTTCTGGGATCCCCACCAATCACTCCCTCCTCAGAATTCCATTTATAATTACCTTCACCTCACACAGAAAATCACTGTATGTTACCATTCATCTATCCTCCACTAACTCACTCATTTGTTCATTCATTCTTGCGGGCAATATTTATAGAGTGCCTGACATACCCAAGGCATACCCATGGCAGGTTCCATGGATGTTTGTTGAGCTGAAGTTCCTACTAGCCATTCCTGGGGATGCCCAGGTCTGGCACTGCTTGTGAGCTCCCATAAAGCCATGTTGTCCATGCACCACCACCTTCCCTGATTGACTGGCTGATACTGTCTATCCAGAGCTTTGATGTTTCAGGCGACTCAACCAGATCAGAAGTCAAAAGAACTGGATCTGAGTCCCAGAAATACAACTAAAAACTAGAAGCAGCACAGGGCAATGGTTACAAGTATGAGCTGATGGAAAATCAGGTTTTATTACTTACAAACTATGGACCTTAGATAAGTCACTTCACTTCCCACTGTATTGTTTTCCATCTGCAGCGGGGAGGGGATTATAGCAATATTTCCCTTGTAGGGCCTCTGTGAAGATCTAAAAATATAACATTTGTCAAGTGATAGGGACCGTGTCCCCCAAGTTTTATGTATTAGTAGCTTGAACCCCACTACAACTGTTAAGAGGGTGGGAAATCCTATTATGGTAATTGAAAAGTGGGGTCTTGAAGAGGTGATTAGATCACAGGACCATGCCTAATGAATAGATTAAACATAATGGTCATGGGCGTGGTTCTGAGAGCTTTAAAATGAGAGTGCATGAGGATCTATCTCTACTCTGCCATCTGCCATGTGAGACCCCCAAGTCACTGTCACCACCACCGAGGCCTTTACCAAATGTGTTCCCTGGGCTTTGGACTCCCCAGTCTCCAAAACTGTAAGCAATAAATTTTGCTTTCTTTGTAATTCACCCAGTTTAAGGTATTTTGTTACAAGCAACAGAAATGGACTAATACATCAGATAATTAGAATAGTGCCTGGAATGTAGTAAGCACACAAAAATAAAGCTAGTATCACTTTTTTGTCTTTATTAGCATTGTGGGCAAAAAAGTAATCTGAGCCCCACAGAAAACATGAAATTCTGAACTAGAAAGTAATGATAGAATAGATAATACTTTTTGAGGACTTAGTTGGGACCAGCTTAAGCCAAGAACTTTTCAAGTGTTAGCTCATTTAATCCTCACAACGGCCCTACCAGATAGCTAATCTTAAAGGCTCCATCTTACAGATGAAGAAACTGAGGCTCAGAGAGGTTGTGCAACCTATTTAATATTACACTACGAGCAAGTAGTGGCCCAGAACTCAAACCTAGATGTTCCTGACCACAGGCTGGGGTCTTAACTCTATCGTTCCTCAGAGACCATTGCGAGTGACACCCTCCTCATTTAGAGATGAGGACCTGGAGACCCCAAGAGGGGAAAAACACTGAGTGAATCAGTGCCAGAATCAGGACTACAATCCGGAGTTCTCGCCAACTTACAGTGTGCCTTCCACAGAACCGAGAACTGCCGGAGAAAGTGTCCAAATGTACCCAAGAGTCAGATCAACTGGAAACATTATTCTGTTTTCCAGACTCACACTTCATTTCACCGTTAATTAAAATTTTCAGTTGAAAATTGTTTCCCCTAAATTAGGCATGCTGTCGCCTAATTAGCAGCCATAACCGGATTTGGGAGAAGTGGCCATTCATTGTCTAGATGAGATCCTCCTGCCAGGCAAGCCTTGCACTGGGAGTTTGTGTGTGTGCACGTGCGTGTGTGCATGCATGTGTGTGTGTGAACAGCAAAATGCTCTTTGCAGTGACTCTGCCAAGTAGCACCTTAGCTTGTCACAAATGAGAAGGAGGCACAAGCCCAGGGTCATATGCACAGCAGCCACTTACTCTGGGGGACAGAGGAATAGGACTGTTCATAAATCTAGTTGCAGCAGCCATTCTCAATCTCCAGAGACATCAGAGATGGGCTTTTTGACTAAATGCCTTCCACTTCTCTCCCCATCTGTTGCAGAGGAGAAGCATGTCTCTTCTCAGGTTCTCTCTTCCCTGCCTAAAGTTTGCACAGTGACAGAGATGGATATTCAGCCTCTGCGATGCTTTCCACACTTCTCTAGCCTTGATAGTACCATCACCCACACAAAATTCAGCCTGGCACCAAGACCCAGGAACCTTTTCCACCAGGCTAAAGACTGTCAGGCTTTTCAAAGCATGACTTACAATACATTTTCAGTTGCCACCCTGTACACATACACAGAACTTGACAGTACTCACTCCTTCTCCATGAGATATACTCTAATGTTATCCATGATGTTCTATGTTATTTAATGGTCACAACCCTTAAGCTAATTTCATGGCACAGTAAAAAGTCATGACCTACTGTGGAAAAATAGTTAGGGGCAAGAAAAGCTCATCTCTTAAGTCCCAGGGTCTACAACCAGGAGGCACTCCACATTTCCTGCAGGAATGATTTCTAGAAAGTGCAACTTTCTCCCAGAGAGTTCCGTTTGCAGGCAGAAAGTGGGCTTTAGCACAGGAAGGGGTGTTGTGGGGAGGTTTCTGTTGTCAGCAAGACCACAGGGCAATGGAATCACAATGTCCAGAGTCAGTGCAACTCCACACAGCTCCTCTTGAGGCTGCCCTGTTGTTCATGTTAACTGGCTTCACCCGACCTTGGGCTTAGGGAAGCCAAGTTCAGCTACTCATCTCCTGCTTAGGAACTGAGTCATTATGGGCAGCCACTGAAGCTCTGTGGGCCTCAGTTTCCTTATCTGTAAATTGGGGACTGGTTTTGTAAGTAATCATCAAGTGTCTGAAAGAACACCCAGCATCCTCTAATGCTTGATACATGTCACTTGTTGTTACCCAGATTAGCTTTAGCCAAATGACACAGCCAGTCTCCCTCCAGTTTGGACAACAGAGGATTATTTTCCAAATTTTTCCCCACTCAATATGGAGACAGGTCATCCAAGTGGATAAGACATGGAAAGCATTTTATGATAGAAGAGGCAGAGATGCGGAGCTGGGAAATAAAATTTTTAGGAAAAATGCAGCAATTAACCAAGACATTTCATTGTTCTTATGAAACAGAAGTTAGGCATTTATTTAAAATGTCTATCTGTCTTCTGTGTCTGTCAATAAGGGGCATCTGGCAACTGGGGCCCCTATTTCTAGTACAGTCTTCTGTTGGGGAAGCTCCACAAGCTTCTTGATGGGACCATCATTCGGGTGTGGCCTTAAGCAGAGAGGGGATGGACTCAGAGGCTCCCCTGCCTGCACTGGGACCACTCAGCGATGTAGTCACAGAGCCCAGAGACAGCATGACTCCCTGAAAGCACATTCTTGGGATCATTCACCTAGGGAAGTCACCTGAGTTCCCTCCATGGGCTGTCACAAAAGACCAACTCAGTGCAATGATGTTTCATGCTCCAGAAGTGAGGAATGGTTTGAATCAGGCAGTGATGATGATAATGAGGAGGAGAAGGGAGAAAAAGAGAAGGGGGAGAGGAATGAAAAGGGGAAGTGCAAAGGAGGAGGGTAGGAGGAGGAAGTAGCAGTTTTAACAGGATCATCTACCATGTGCCAGGCACAGTGTGAGGATTATTTCTAATGCTCATATCAACCTTGCCAGAAAGGTACTAATACGGTCCCTTTGTTAGGAAATTAAGCCTTGGGGATATTGACATACAGAAGGCCATACAACCATTATATGGCAAGATCAGGATTAGAACCCAGATCCACTTGATCCCAAACACGATATTGCTCTTCCCACTACATAAATCTGCTTCCCAGAGATGGATTTCCTCTATCATAGTTATTCCCAATATTTTGGAAAGGGTCTCTGCCAACATTCCAACTTTCCTTTAATAATTCCTAGGGAGGCATCTACCCACGAATTCACCTATTTATAATTTAAGCCCAAGCTCGTGTGAGCACACCATGAGCTCCAGACATGCCTCTTTCACAGCAAGCACTAATGGCTTAAAGATATTGAAAACCTAAGTTGTTACACAGGTATCCATGATTAAAAAACAAAAAGCAAAACTCAAAAGCAAAACAAACCACTGTGTACAGTATGATAACAAATTGATTCAATATAGATTTTTGTTTTGCAGACTATCTTGGTGTATGTGCTATTAATCTTCTGGGAGCATTTAGCTTTCTCACGCAAAGAATTTTGCTGTTTATCTAATTGTATCCAACATTTAATTAAAAGAGCTATCGGCATGCTTCTAATGCTCTGAGCAGGGAAACTGAGCTGTGTCTCATGAGGATATGGTATCTGTTACTGGGTATTTCCGAGTCAGAGAAGGTCAGTCACATTATTAGTGGTTTTAATTAGCTTTCCCACAACTGGTCATATTGTTTAGACCCAGAATTACATAGCAAGGGATTTTTTTCCCCTTGCCTTTGAAAATAGCAACAAAAAGCAAAATATGCTCCCAAATGCTTTCTTGAAAAATCCTCTCGTCCAGGACTTGGTTCCCCACTGTTTCCACTGCATTTCCAATCACTTCTAGGAATCGCACTTTTGATCCCATAATGTGATAGAATCACATAACAGTGCATTGTGTCTGTGGAGGGTTTTATAGGCTATAAGGCGCATTTTCATATGCAGGCTCCTTTGCTCCTTGCTGCCTCTATGATTCTCAAATTTACAGAAAAGAATAAGCAGGCACAGTGAAATTACCTGACTTTAAAAACATCACCTGGCTAGATGGTGGCAGAGAGAAAACAAAAAGCCACCTTTCCTTTTTCAGCAGCTGGCTGGTACAGAGATTGAACCCTGAACCTCAATGTTAGCAGCACCATGCTCCAACCAAGTGAGGTAACCAGCCAACCCTGCTAAGCCACCTTCTCTGTCTCTAAATGCAGTGCTTTGTTGCCTCCTCCCAGACGCCAGATGCTTTAGATGGGTTCTGCCAGAAGCTGACCCTGAGTCAAGGGTTTGGGTGACTATGATTTATTAAGGTAGGGATCCAGGAGAAACTAGCAAGGGAGTGGGGGAAGGTTAGAGAAGGGGAAGAAGCCAACCATGGCTGTGATTTAAAGCCAGGTCTCAGCTTCTGCCTGGTTCTGTGGGGATCTCCGGGGAGTCAGTTGACACTCTGGAGAGTCAAAACCTCAGGGCTTGTTCTGCTCAGAAGCAAGAGAGCAGCTGGTCTTTTGTACTCTCACACTGGCTAGTCGTTGGTCCCAGGTGACTGCGAGGATTGGGGGAACTTAAATTCCCAGGCATTTATCATTCCAGTGCCCAAAGGTAATAACTCTCTGAAGATCCCTGGTTTGAGCCTTTGTCAGCAAAGCATGGAAGGGTGGGGCTGGGCACACAGGGCTGGAAAAGAATCCCAGGAGATCTTGGGGGGGGGGGTGAGGAGGAGTGCACAGCATCCCACCACCCATTTATTCATCCAATCAACCAGCAGATATCTGAGTGCCAGATAATGCCTAGGTACCAGATAACAGTATTAAAAGCACATCCCTGAGATCCTCCTCCCCAGAGCCAATTTTGGTCTCATCAGTTTTATCTCCTTTATCACACTTATTCCTGCCTGCAGTTTTCTTCTTCCTTGCCATTTACTTGTGTATTGTTTATTTCTTCCTCCTAGAATTTAAGTTTCTTGGGAGCCTGAGCACAGTCTGTCCAGTTCACCATGGTAGACAGGAATGATCTCTCTGGGGAGGAGATGTTTTCCTGAAGACCTGAACTTCAAGGTGGAGCCAGGCATGAGAAGATAGAGGTAGGAACATTCCAGGCAGCAGACACAGGAAGCAAAAGGGCAGTGCGGTAGAAAGAGACTTAGTGTTTAAGGAGCAGAGAGAGAGATTTAGTGAGCAAGCAGAGGAAACATGTAGGAGTAGGTTAGATAAGAAAGGGTTTCATAGGCCATGGGAGCAGAGTGGAGCTTACTCAAGCGACAGCAGGAAGCCACTGAAGAGAAACCACCTACTCACATGGCACCTCTGTAAAGGTAACTCCATCTTTAGCCCTGTTAAAGCCTCATCATCTGTCTTGACAAGGCTCATTGTACCTCTTTCCACAGGGTATATCATGAGTAAGCTGTAAAGGCTTTTCACGGACTGATTTTCTATTCAGCATTTTGTTGATTTCCGAAAGGATATATGTAGACTCATGTCAACAAGATATTATAGTGAGGTTTCATAAAGAGAGACAAATTATCCTCACACACACAAAGCAGAAAAATCTCTGCAGTGCAGCAATCTCAACACTGCTGAGCTTTGCAAGTCAAGTTTTGTTTCCCGGACTAAAATTTCGATAAGAGGATGCACCCAGTTTACCTCTTTTCTTCCTCTGTGTGCATTTCTGAATAACCACTCAAATTCCGCAACCCTGGTTACATTTCAGTGGAGAATAGAGGGAGCAGGTGTTATACTCCCATCTTACTGATGTGGAATGCACAGCCCCACAAGGGACGAATGGAGATGTGTAGAAGGAACAAGTGAGAAAATTTTTAAAAACTCTCTACTACTCATATGTCCCTTGAAGACATTTCAGGTGAGTCAGAAGTGCTGGTGATGAGGCTGATTTGGCTGCATAGTACAGAGGAGCTGTCAGGTAATTAAGTCTCTTGGTAGGGCTTAGAGAAGACTTTTTTTCATGTCACAGATGAGGAATACAAAGCACAGACTACATAAGAGATTCATCCAAGGTCACAGAGCAAGCAGGTACCTATAGCCTAGAGTATACCTTCACCCCAAGCTTCTCCTTTTCAGGCTAGTACACACATTCCTCAACATCATGCTCTCCTTGAAAGGATGAATTTCACCCTAAACTATAATGTGCTCTTGAGTCGTAGGTCTTTATAAACATCATCAGAAAGATCATATGAATACGAGAAAGGACCACCTGGGGAAACTATGCTTCCAAATTAGATCCAGAATCTTTTAGACCAAGGAGAGCTAAGATTAAAGTTCTGTTCCTAAATTTTTTTAGAAATATGCCAATTTGCCTTAAGGGGGAAAAAGAAAGCTTTGACTTTGTGCTTTAGAGTTGACAGATCTGAATGATAAGCACTCAAATCAGTCCCTTCTTCAGGGAGAGCAGTTACAAACAACCCTCAGACACATATAAAAGCAAGGTGACCTTACCTTTTTGTCACTGAGGCCAGTCACTTGGTCCACAAATTCCTCCTGGATCATGAAAGCAGCCAGATTGGCCGTGTAACTGGCCAGGAATATGACAGCGAAGAAGGCCCATACTGACACCATGATCTTGCTGGTGGTACCTTTAGGGTTCTGGACAGGCACAGAGTTGTTGAACACCAGGCCCCAAAGGAGCCAGATAGCCTTTCCAATGGTAAAAGAAGGCCCATGGGGTGCTGCAAGTGACAGAAAGGACATTCTCAGCGTTTACTCAAAATACATACTTCCGCATGTAAAACTGTGTGGCAGACACCAGCGGTAATAAAGGTAGCCCAGAGATGGAATTCTATTATAGTTGTGTCCTATCATTGCTCCAGAACTGCAGCCCCAATAATATCATTGTTCTTTAAAAATTAGTATTCTTCCAACATTTCTATCTAACTGGATTTTTATCCTGTTTGTTAAAAAACAAAAAACAAGAAAAAAGGCAAAGAAAATGGTTATGCAAAAATGAATGTGACTTAGTGTGATGACCTGTTTTAAATTTGGATTTGATTTCCATTTGGAGGAACTGATCTCCTTAACAAATGTAAAGAAAGCCTGACAAAATACGTTCATGGGGGCTGCTTCAGTATTCATCGGATGTGCTATCATCAAAGCACCACGCAACTCAGCAGGACAGATGTTTGATATTCTAACCCGATTGTTCCTAGCAATTGCTGCTGTTCAAACTCAGATGTAAAGTGTGCACAATATAGGAATTTAACCAAACTAAAACCCTCTCCAAATGGAGACATTAAACAATGAAACAACAGAGCTTAATTCTTCCAGCCCTTTACGTATGGAATACATTTCGTTGCAGGGTCATGGAAAATCAACTCTGATATCACAGCACGTTTTCATCCTCTCTGTATCCTTGCAACAGTTATGTGTACCTTTTAAGATTCTTAAACGTTAGTGAAACAGACTTAACTAAAGAGGTAGAACTGTAAGCCAAAATTTATTGGGATGGGGCATGCACAGGGTGTAAAACACTCATGTTAGGGTTTTTAAGTGTTTGTTTTGCACAGGATAAAAAATCAATTTATGCCCTCATTTCATGGGGGGAAAGGTCTTCCTTTAACAGACGGTTAATTTTTATGTCATTTAAGTAAATGAAAACATGAAAAAACGGTCCACTCTGACTTTGGTAGGTGATGTAAGTAGAGTGGGCAATAAATAAAGTAGGCAAAGTGTACGCAAATTGATGGAAGTTATGAAGTTCCGGGCAGGAAGCCTAGGAAAAGCAAGCTTCATGCACATTGGAGGCCAGACTCAGGCTACAGTAGCACTTAAGATATCCATAATACAACACATTAAAGAGAAGTGGCTCACTCTGTCATTCTCGGTCTCAATCTCTCTCGTTTCTCTTTGCCTAGTTTTATGATCTTCTGGGCTTATTCCCAAGAGGCTGAGAACTCTTAGGAAAAAAAATAGTCTGTTCAGTTAACCTCATGAACTACTTAATTTTATTAGAGATGCATGCTAATCAGAAGTGACAGCTATTTGGGAATCAGAAACAGGCAGTTGCAAAGGATCAGTTCAAGACTTTTGGGAATTCCTGATTCATGAATATTATTACTGGGCCATATACCTTTCCCCATAAAGTGCAGTGAAATGTAAAAGAAAACCATTTTGCACCAAGAAACAAGTAGCTGTCATTTCCCAAGAGTTGCCACATGCAAATGAGCACAAATCAAAAAGTGTCCATGTAATGGGATGGCTGGGGAGTTTGCCTGCTAAATTTCTTTTTTTACAATAGTCATCTAGTACATGCTTCAGCCAAGAGAGAAATTACTGCACGTGATGGCCTTTGGATCATCTCTCCCTCCAAGATACATCTCAAATTTATGCACTTATCTCCCTCTCCATTGCCTTTGCCCAAGTCCAAACAACTGTAATCCTTTCTCTAGGGAAACTGTGACAGCTTCCTAAGTGGTTTCCTGCTTCCACTGCTGCTATCCCCTCCCATTATCTCGATGGGGTAGCTCAGTGACCTTCTCACACTGTACATGTTTGTCATTTTCTTCCTCCCACTGCATTTTGAAGAAAATCTGGAACGCTTACCATGGTCAACTGCCTATCCCTCTGACTTCGTTTTATGCTGTGGTCCACCTCACTCACTCACTTCTTTTCTGTTTCTTCAATGTACCAAGATTGATTCCACCTTTGTGTTTGCTGTTCCTCCTGGATGGAATGCTTGTCTCTATTTTTCATGTGATCAAGTCATTCTCACTCTTTGGGTTTCAGCTCAATATCATCTTTTCTGAATATCCTTCCCTGTGGCCCCACCCCATCACCATCATTTCACTCTGTTTTTTCTTCCTTTTCTTGAGATTTATTACAATTTATGATTACTGCATGTTGTTTCTACAACGAAAGTCTAAGCCTCCTGAGAGTCAGGAAGTCTCTGTCTGATTCAACACGTTCTCCCCAACACCAGCACAGGGCCTGGCATATGGTACATACTTAATAAACACTGTGTGAATTTACAACAGCACAAACTCTAATTATGCAAATGTAAAGGTTTACTCTATTGCAGTATGATCACTCATGGAAAACTGTCTCAGATTCCACTTTGCTGGAAAACTCCTTAATGGTTAATTGTATTACCCTTCCAGTGAAGGCTGGCAACCTCCCATTTAAACAAATTATTATTTATGGCATTTTAACCATTTGATGGATTTCAGGTGGTTTATGTAGGTAGTAATAACTACTCTTCAATGGTTATGAAGTAGGAGGATTTCAATAAAGCTGCTCCTAATAGATTCCCATGACTTGTTGGCTGTTTCCAATATTAAATTTTCCAAATAGAAACAATACGTGTTAAATTAAAGTGCCCTGTTTTTGAGGGCATTTAAGACTTCATGGTCTCCTGTGCTCCACCATGTCAAGTCATTTTGGGGGGAAAGAGATTTGGTCCTGGAACTATTTAGAAGATATTGTGTATTGCGGAACATCTACTAGAAACAATATAATGTATTTACATATCAGACATGAACACTGGCTTGTGTGGGAGCCTCTTAATGAGTTTTAGCCAACAAATGCCTCCCAATTTAATTTTTTCCTAGCTACTGATTTCCCCTTTATCAAGTACAATGCACTAAGGTCAGGCACTATCAAGAGGAAAATATAAATCTTTGAGGAAAGATACCATTTTACCATTAATGCTTACTGTCAAACTAACGCAAACATGATTCAGTAGTTCGAAAAATGTTCTTAAACTAGATTCTAAAAAGCCATTTTCTTTGCATGGACTGAAGTTGACTCACTACGATTTTAACATTTCTTTTGACACACACTTTAAAATTAATTGCCAAAAGAACACTTCTTTAAATCTGCTTTCTCAACAAACTGAATAACAGTGGTTTTCGCCTGACATCTGTTGACCTCACACTATATCAAGATTAAAATGTTTCATTTTATTTTATCCTTTCTTCAGTTGAAATGAATAAACCACACTTGTCTGCTATTACAAGTAATATTAATGACCCAACGCTATTTATACGGTGGTGTGCAAAGCAATATAGGATAATGTGTTCTAAAACTGAAATCTTCATGGAAAATCAATGAAATCACACCAACCTGGAATCATGCTCGTGAAGGCTTCCTTACCTTTCCCTTTGGCTAAGTTTCTGTTGTATCCAACAGGACTGAAGTATTCAAAGACAAAAACAGCTATGGCAGAGACAATGAGCAGCATCACAAACATCATCACCCACACGGAGGCGCTGAATGGCTCTGCAGATAGACAGACCAGAGGGATGGAGTGTGGTCAGTTAGCTCTTCCTCCCCCTTTCAGCAGGAAGCCCAAACATCCATCTGGCGGATCACCAGGAAACTTTCCCTCATTTGAGTCTGATCATTCAAAAGAAGCTAGTCATTTTTTATTCCTATGCTTATACGATTTTTTAATCTACAGAACATCTGAGGTGTTTTATAAGACTGCATACAATACAATAAAAATAGAGAAGAGGATATGGTATTTTACAAATCAGGTCAAGGACCATAAAAACAGAAAAGAATGATAAGACCCAGGGAGAAAGTCAGAATGCAAACAAACAGGCCCTGGAGTCTCATATAATTATAGAACCATCCAGGGGGCCAAAGCTAAGGAGAAAAAAGACTAGATACAGAGTTAACCATAAGGCTCCTACAAATCGGAATGGTTTTGACTTTTTATTTTCATTTTTACTTTTGCATACTGGAGGGATGATGTGCAGGGAATTCTGGAAGGGAGAATTGCAATCCCTTAGAAAAGAATTATAAGATCATAGGGTTGATGGAAATTTGGAAGATCATAATCTGCCACTGCTACTATTCCTCTCTCCATCTTGCCTTCTGCTTCGGGCAGATGAGATCTCCAAGTTTTAGAAATCTTGTTGGTGTTGGTAATGGGCTTAAATGCAATTGAAAGTCATTTGAGGATATTATATTGATGTGATAATTCAATGAAAAAGCATCACTCAAAGAGTAGAGGCAGTGAGGTAATTTCCCCTAAAAGTAGTTTTCACCGGTTCATTTCTACTTGACTTAGGCAGCAGGTGGATGTCTCTGAAGGGCAGGCCAAGTCACAAGGTTCTAAACTTCAGAACACTCTAGAAAGGTAAGAGATGTTCTGTAAAATAAATTAACATTTTTTCTACCTGATTGTGGATAGAAGAGTTAGCTGATTGAGGCCATTTTATCCACTTATGATATATATTTGCTAGAAAATCAACAGAATATAAATTTTAAAATGAACACATTTCCACCTGAATATATCATTGGAAAGAAACAGCCAATCAACTTAAAATCTTTTTTCTCACAAGCAAATGTTTTCTGAGCATAAAATATATTAAGTCCAATAGTACCTCTTGAATAGTGAACATTTTGTTATTTTTAAACTGTTTTCCTGATGAAGCTAGTAATAATAATAAATAACTAGGCTGATAAGCAAGCCACCTTCTTATTAGAGTCTGTGACTACCTAACAAAGGTAGAAGTCATCACAAATTCCAATTTAATGAGTTTAATGTACAACAAGGAATGAATATGTCTGAAGAAGCTTGAACTATTTTAGACAATTTAAAAACTGGAGGGAATGCTTTGCAATGCAGTTTTGACAGTGCAAATATGTTAAAAAGCAATAGGTTTGTTTACTTGACACTTACTTGGCTGAAATAACACAAGATGAGCTCCAAGAAATCAATGAGACTACAGCTGAAATTTATCTTAGTTAAATTTAGTTTCAGCAACAAACAATATTATGTCCCTGAAATCACAGCAATTTGGTAATGAGATGTATCCAAAATGGAGGATAAATAAATGAATAATTAGGAGATTAAAAAATCCCTACTATTCAAGAATAGAGATGTTAAAGTCATTTTCCAAGTCAGGTATACTAATGGCATGGTATGTCCTACCAAAGGAGGGTCACTGTGATAAATAAATGAGCAAGTGCACACAGAGCATTTGGCAGCGTGCCTCGCACTCTGTATGCACACAATATATTAAATGAAATAGCTATTTGATTCCATGATTAAAGCCAGAAATGGTTGGGGAGGTATGCAGTCCACAGTACTACAAAAGGTGCTCTGGTTTAAATAAAACACACCTATTAATCTGATAACTTCCATTTCTCTGCGGGTTATGGTAACATTATTTTTAAAATTAGAAATCCTTATGGAATTCTTCTATTCACACGTCAGAATCTATAAACCTGCACTGGAGTTTCATTTGGCAGACGCATCCTGGTCACTAACACACTAGTCAGAAAATTAGGTAGAAGCTGATCGAGCAACTGTTCCTGGAGGTGTTCTCTCTTGGAAGTGACAATATCTTTCCCTTGACTTGTGAGCATGGCACAGAGATAAAAGATTCTGCTGCAGTATTCTGCTTTTAGTAAATTAAATACCTGCAAGTGCCCTTAAGGATTGCTATTCTCAGACATCACACAGTGCGTGCGTGCACACGCACACACATGCACACTCCACAATGGAGAAAAACATTAGAACAATGTTGAAGCACTGACTACAGTGTCTAAAGAGTCACCCAGAGATATTTTTAAGTAGCTCTGATTACATCCTCTAGTAGCTTAAAACAGATTCAACATTTGTTCATGAAGGAACTTCGATCTAAAAGACTCCAGGTCAGCATTTCTTTGGATCAGAAACTCTAACCTGTTTGGAAAGTCTTTAGAATTAACTGGATGGAAATATTACAAGAGAGACATCATTTCTGTCCTTGAAAAACCACTGGTTACATTTTTACACGAAAGCTCAGAGGCATTACCTGAAAGTGTTTCTGATGCGAGTTAATAGAGTTTGAGGAAGAGAGAGAATAAGAAATAATCAAGAGCAATGCAATCAGATTTTGAACGTTTTGGCTCTTCCAGATGACTGAGCCAGTGAATGGAAAAATGTAGCTTAGCACGGTTCATTATGACTTTCAAAACCTGCAGATAATGACTGTAAATAAGGGGGTGCACAGTCAATCAAATAGGAGTATAATTAAGTGACTAGGAAAAATATTAAGCCCACTATGCAAGAACAGCTTTGAAAGTAGTTTCCTCTGGCTACAATTTATTTTATTTTATTTTATTTTTCAAGATGTAACAGGAAGAGGAGGGGTGAAAGGAGGTTTTGCTAAATTTAACAAAATGCTTGACTTTTTATGGAAATGTTCTAAAGATGCAGGTAAGATAAAAATCTTGAGAAACTAGGTTGAGGGCAGTTTGAATATCAGTGACCCATTTTTATGAGACAAGCCAATTGATTTTTTTTTCTCTCTGATTGAACTGGAAAAAAGTTGTGCCCAGCTCACAAAGGAGATACAGCAACAATTTGTGAAAAGACACAAATTTCTTTTTATTTTGTTCCACGAGCTCACTTCCTTCAACTTTTTCTTAACCTGTAGAGAAAAGACTCTCTGTCAGAATCTAATAGGGAACAGGGGAAAAAGCATGCCCAGGAGTGATTAAAGAGTGAGTGTCCTTTCAATTATTATTAAGATTTGGCCCTCATTGTCAATATCAGTCAGTTGTATTTTTCCTGCTGTTGTGAGGCTCCCTTATTAAGATATGGGTTATCTGTATCTACGTCAGACAAAGAGACAAAAGAAACATAATGAGGTGTGTACTATTTGACAAGGTTCACATTACCCAAACAAAGGTTACAAAAATTGAAGCAACAGGAGCAAAATCAAATCCAGTGGGTGGCAAGGATTTCAACAGCTTAAATGGATTATCAAAAATGAAAATAGTAAATCCGTGCGTCTCTGTGAGTAAGGCATTATCCCAAATCCTGTTAGTCAACATTTCACTCAAGAGAATGAAGCATAAAAGTTTTACTGGATGGTAACATTACATATAACTGAAGATAGTAAAAAATAAGACTACAGGTTGGAGTTGGTGTCACAAATTGGTTCTAGTTTGTAATTTTCTTTAATAAAGTTTTTTGTCTCTGGAAAGATGTAAGAAATGTAGTTGAACTTAATGTAACTGCTTTCCCTCTCTCCTACAGTTTTCCTCTAGAGATTAAGGTTTGTCTTAACCTTCCCAAGTCTGGGACAAACCCACTTATATGGGAGGGACAAGGGGGAGTTAATATTCGGAATCCCTCATCTTTGACAAGGTAGCCACTATCAAAAATCATTTATAATACAAGCAGCCAAGACAACACTTTCCTTTAAAGAAAAATTAATAGCACTTGGCTATGTTCCGTGCACTTGCAACCACTCTAGCCAGGCTACCTAATGCATACACGAGGGTACTTCAAAATATTTGTAAAGAAATAAAATTAAAGGATAATACAAATCCTTTCACGAGCTTTTTGAAGTACCCTCGTACAGTTACAGTGCTAAAGAAAACCAAATGATAGGTAATAGAAGTCTACCTTGATTTTTTTCTAAACCTTTTATGTAAAGAACATAAATTTATGACATGGTTAAAAGAAGAATCAAAAGAATTTCCTGCTTTATAGACTATTCAGCTTAAAGGATAGCTATGTTTAAAATATGATTCCGTTAATTTTAAATCAGCGTATACTTTTCTGGCTATTTCTATTTTGTTTATCAGAGTACTGGCATAAATCATTGGGCAGTCATCAATATTTTCACTCTTACATCTAGTAAATAAATGACTGTCACTCTAGGTGGGATGGAGAATGGCTATGTGGATGCTGAATAAAGGTTTATGGGCTGATTTAAAGTAACTGTGGACACCATAGGTTTATTTTTTAAATGTTTTCAAGGCTTAAGCAATATATCTATTAATCTACATTCTACAGTCAATACCCAGTATCTGAACATGAAATGGGATTTTTTCAGCAGATATTTCTAGGTTAATGATACATGAGAGATGTGAACCAGGGGAGAAATGAATTTGGATCATTCAAATGCAACATGCTCTGGAATATGCTGGTGTGGTCCAGGAGAGCTGACCACGGTTCTTTATGGTCCCATCCTTCAAGCCAACAAGACAGAATGCCTATAACTCCTTGTAGGAAAGCAATCGTCACTATGAAGTTCACGTACCTAGAAAAGCAGAAGGCGAGACAGTGCCGTTGCTTCTTGACACCATGACACTGATTCCCGTCTCCACAAAGGGCACGGAGAAGTCCACCACTTCAGAACGTTCCTCGTTAATAGTGAGCGAGCCCACTGCCATGACAGCTCGTTGATAGACCACCTGCAAGCAAGGCAGAAAAAAAGAACAGTAATTCTGTTTATGCTTCCCCACATCCCTGAGGCCCTCAGGCCCTGTGTCTGAGTGGGATGACACAGGGGATGAAAAGATAACTTACTTCGCCAATCATCCCATTCCACACATTGTTGACCTTTTTGCCATGCTTCCCATTGGTCACCAGGTAGAGGTCGTAGGTAAACTTCACCGTTCTGGAAAGCTTCTTCAGGATATCAATGCAGAACCCCTTGCAGCATTTTTTAACATTCATCCCCTCGTTGGTTGAATTGCTGTAAAGGAAATCCCAAAACCATAGCAGGTGAGTAGTGGGGGATTGTTCACAATCGTTAGTAATATCCTTTTCTACCACTTTTCAGACAGGAGCCTCCTTTTGAGGCTCAAAAAGGAGAAATGGATTTTCCAAGGATGTGAGGTGAGTTTATGACAGCAAAAGTAGAAAAGGTTCTTAATTATTGCAGTCATCATGGGGACAGCTAACATTTATTGAGTAATTACTATTTGCTAGGCATTATGCTAAATGCTTTATACTAACTGTTGAATTCATCTCCAGGACATTTCTCTGAATTAGGTAGCATTTGTACCCCCACTAGACAGATAAGAGTTATCAACTTCTATTTTTAAGAGTTTATAACACATACAACCTCATTAGACCAGAGTTTAGTCATCTGTTCTAAGCTGAATCATAAGAAATTACTAGGAAACGGATGTGAAACTCTTAGGTAGAGTTTTCCTTTGTCCTGTAGTTACAGAGGCTTGAAACCAAAGGGAAGAAGTAAGATTACCTAGAAAACTCTTCAGCTAAGAATCAAGAGACCAGGACTCTATCCTATGCCTGAGTCCATGGACTTAACTTCTCCCGATGGAGCCAACTGTCACATGAGGGCTTGCCTCCTACTTCCCTACCTCCCTACATGCCATGGAGTGTAAGAAGGTGACTTTTAAAGAGCAATGTCCTTCATCAAGAAAAATCCTTATTAAAATACTAGGGTCTTGAAAAAGTTCATGGAAAGATCCATTTTGTCTTTTAATTCTATTTTTCTACAGACTCTTAAAGTACCCTCAGATAGAGAGTACTGCCATTTTAAAGGCCATTGTATAGTCTACGAAAGTTATCTTTGTTGCCTTGTACCAGCCACCCTGCTTTCTTACCTGACCATGTCCTATTCAGAGGACATCATCACAAACTGGACCCCCCCATAAAAAGGACAGAAACTCAACTGACAGCAAAAAGTATCGAGACAACTTATATAGGAAGAGCAAAGCTTCTCTGGACAATACACTAGATTCCACCTTGCACTGGGGCATCCCATTAGCTCAACTCTGTCTTTGAGTCACACATGGTATGAAATATGTGCTGTTTGAATATTCCATTTTTGCTGTATCTACACACTGGACTGTTACTTAAGCACTAAAATGGTGTTTATGGAAATCCAACATCCTAATAGGAAAATGTTTATATTTCCATGTCCTACAACAAAAGTAGGTTACACAATGGTATAAACCCAATACTTATAGCTATATAAAAACAGATGAGCTTATGAAATAACTGGGTGGGAAAACAATGAAATATAAAGCTTAGCTATTTTTGAATGGTGGAAAATGGTTTTTTTTTCTTTTTCATATTTTTAGGAATTTTTCCCCCAAGTTATCTAGTGAGTACATACTACATATATAATTGGATACACACACATCAAACACCATGGATGTATATCTCTTTCTATATCCATGAATGTGGACAGATTTGACAATACAGTTTTGAGTAATAAAAATAGGTTGCAAATGACTCTTCTCTATAATGCTTTCCTTTATCTCAGAATCAGAGATTACCTATCTTCATTACTAATGTCACTGTTACACCCCTCCCACCCTGCCCCTGACTTCTACTCAGCCATCCTACTTCTGTCAGCCGCAGCCACCTTGGAGACCTCGTTTTCCAGCCTAGAGGCTGCATGACCTGCTCTGATCCATGACCCTCAGATTGGGGCAGGTTGGAGGCCACTTCTGTATAAATTTACATATGATCATTGGTGGACTCAATGCTGTAGAGTAAGCGGAGGTAAGTGCCTGCCCCATCTCCACAAATTACCCCGAGTGGAGGGAATCAGCCTGGAATGAAACCTGCCATAAATCTGATGGAAATGTGCCTTAAGTACATTAACTTAGTGGCATGTCCAGAGACCATTTCCATCTCGGTATATGTGGCTCCTAAAAATGTGTCAGAATCACAGTCTCTCTTTTTCTTCTTGGCCACTATAGGCCATGCACTGACTCCTCTTCCCCACCTCTGCTCATCCAGATCTCCTTCATTCTCTCCTCCTTCCCTTCTTCTCCTATCACAGACTATTCCTCCATCTGGTCATGATTCTTCAGAGGGTCTGAACAGAAGTTACAAATGCCCCAGGTTTATGTTTCAGGGTCACAAGCGTATAATGGCATTCTTTGGTTTCACTGGGATCCTCAGCCAGTTCATGAGTTGGCCATCCCCCACATCCGTGAACATGAGGTGTATTTCTAGATACAGATGGTCACGGGTGCATTTGCACCCAATAGGCACCCACTGAATACATATGCTGTACAAGACATGAAACCAGGCCCTGATGACACCGGATGAAAAAGACAGGAAGCAAATTAAATTTTTGGATTTATCATGGTGATTAGGAAGCACTGATGAGCTATAACTGGGAACTTCTGTTGGTTCCTATCCCAGCGTGCGTGTGTATGGAGGGATTGTGACTTAACTACACAGACATCTGAGAAATGGTCCCCATACAATCTCGCTCAGCACTCCACCACTATTCAAATGAAAGAATGACTCATAAAGACAAATACAGGGAAAGAGACCCAGTAAATAGTCCATTCTACTGGCTCTACAATTTCCAGTGTGACCAGTGTGAAATAGAGCTCCCTCTACCTTCATAACGTATGCTATCTGCTTCTGTAGAATTGCTTGCTTAACCTGAGTAACTCCATTTTGCCCCATCTGACCTGCAGACTACCACCCCCCCTTCTGCATGGGAAACTGTTGCCCTTCTCATAGAAACAAAAGCCATTGCATAGAAACAGGAGACATACACAATAAACTATTACATGGGAACAGGAACCATACACGGTGAACTATTTAATGGGAACATACACAATGAAAAGTTGTACGCTTGATTGCTCTAACGGCTCATTCTTGGCTTCTGTGACCTAGCTCCCTAGCTTGCTTTGTGCATCTGGACAAACCCGTGTACCAACGGGATGTAGTTTTTGTCTTTAAAAACCCCACAAGACCAAGGCCCGGGCCATTCTCCCTTGGTTGCTCCTTGGGAGACGGACGCTGGCCAGATGGAGTGAATAAACTGCCCTTTTCTGCATGAGTGGCATGTAAGTGCATTTCTTGTGGGAGGGTGCCTCACAACATGTGGATATAAGCATAGTCATGCGTTCAGATCCTGGTTTGGCTCCTATCAACCGTGGAAACTCAGACAAGTGTAATCACTCAAAGGGCCTCAGTCTTCTCATTTATAAATTGAGAAAGCTGATATTTACTTTGCAGGATAGTTGGGGAGATTAAGTAAAATGAAGTGCTCCAAAGCATTTCTCACATATGCACTTAAAAATAAATTTTCTATCTTTCTACCAATGTTTTGATAGTTTGGGGGTTTCATTGGGTCTGGCCCTTTCTCCCTACAAGTCAGGCCAAATCATTTTTCCAATTTTCTTTTTGCGCTTTTAACACTCAACTAATGGACTAAAAGGAAGGTCTGATTTCACCTCTCATTTCTATTCACCTGGTTTTTTAGAAGACTGATGTGTGCCCTCAAGATTTCACTATTCACCAGAAGTGAGAAATGAAGGGTTTCCCTGGGAGAATATTACTAAAAAAACAAATACAATCATGTTGTCTAACAGGTAACCTTTCTGCAACCAGGCAGCCTGCCTCAAAGATGTTACCTTCAGGAACTGCAATTGACCGAGTCTGTGTTAATGATGGGATTAGTGGATCCTAGTAATTTTCTATTGCTCTCAGGTTAGTCAAAGACTTCAATTTTATCCAGATGCACAGTAAACTTCTCACATCCCCAGGTGACGAAAGGAAAGCTGCAAGCCATCACCTCCCCACAAGAACCAAAGACGTGAGTTTGAACTTCTTAAGCTGGTTACACTCTTCGTAGAAAAGTCAATTCTTTTAAAGAGTCATGTTTTGGTTTATCTTCTTCATACAAATGTGACTTGGAACTTGGGGATCTACTTGTTTTCACCTCCAGGGCTTCAGATTTTAAACATTTTAAACTCTTATCATTGATTATGAAGCACAAGAGGCCCCATTTGATTGACCCTGTTGAAACATAGAAGGTACAGCTACCGTAAAGGAGGCGTTCTACCAAGGTTATATACACTTTGCTTTGTGCCAGCCACTTGACTTTCTTCATCTGACCAAATCCTTTTCAAAGAACACCCACCCAAATCATAACCTACTCTGACAACGTTCCCACATGATCCCCTCCATTGTTCTTCCAGCTCATCACTCTCTAGCTGTGCACTGGCTTTCCTTCTGTTTACCAAATGCGCCAAGCTCCTTCCCACCTCAGGGCCTTTGTAACTGCCATTCCCTCTACCTGAAAGACTCTTCTCCTTTTCATCTTTTCTATATGACCTTAAACCTTACCTGTGTGAGATAAAGTAGCCCCATGTACCCCAGTTTACTCTCTTATCACACCACCTTGCTTGTATCCTTCACAAGTTTATCACAACATGGCATTGCCCTGTTTCTTTATTGATTAAGTTGTTTCCTAACTGTACGTTCTATTACTGCAAGGCCCTTGCTTTTTGTCTTCCCTGTTCATTGACCTGTGCCTGGGACTGTACCTAACCCATGTATTTCTTTTTTTATTACAATTTTATTTATTATAATATGTGTTATTTAGTTGTAAAGGAATTCAGCAAGAAATATTAAAATGTTCATATCCCCAAAACAGGGCTGTCTGCTTGCTCATCCTTGGTGTACCCCATCTATTCTCCTTGTCCCCGGGGGAGGGGAGGCTGGGAGACTGTCTACCAAAGAAAGGTTCCAGCCCTGGGAGCTGTGGTGGGGACATGAGAGAGGGAAGGCCTATCTAGGGGGAAATATTTATTTATTGTATGGTCTATTCAGAATTTCAATTCCAAAGAGGCTGATATTAATAACCGTGTTGATAAAATTTTCTCCAAACCAATATATATATATATATATATATATATCTTAAATATCTCCTGATCCCAAGCACTGAGATCTAGGGATTTGCATCTTGTGTAAAAATGATTGAGGCTGGAGTTTGGAACATAGGAATAAAAGTATTCCTTCCTCATTTAGCCATTAAACAAACATTGTTGTATTGTGCTCTGTACCTGTAACTGAAGGTACGGAATTTAATGTCACATTCTTTACATTTAGGTGACTTGTAATACAGGGAGGAAGACAGACAACCTATAAACTATAAAAACAGTGAGAAGGGTAGAGATAAACATATATCAGGGGTACTATGGAAGTAAGAACCCAACCTGGAGAGGCCGTAGCTAAATTTAAAAACTGGCCAGGAAAAAGATGATGATCAGAAAATACTCAGAAAAAAAAAGATTCCCATAGAAGAGTAGGCCTTTTCTTTTTGGGAGTCCCCCACAAAGGTGGTATTTTTGCTTACATTTCACTAGGAAAGAACATGATCAGGGCCTTGGACTTGGCTGTGGAGCTTTCTGTGTCCCCAACGGGATTGTGGATTAAGGAGAAACCTTAAACTACAATGTCAGCTCTTTCTTCAATCATAACAAAAGAGGAAGTGACATAAATGCCATGCTTGCTTGCTGTCGGTGAGCTAGAAACTGCCAGAAATTTGGTTTCCACCTGGATGGTATCAGAAAGTCATATACAGGTGTGTGTTTGCTTCCACATGAAGAGAAGTTTTATAAAATTTTGAAAAGATGAATCTGGGAAATATAAAAGAGACAGAAGGAAGAGGAATATGCTGCGGGGGAGGAGTCAGCCAGAAAAAAAATAATTAAAGAATTATTTGAAGGGGAGGCTGGATTTAGCATAATGGTTAAAACTACAACTGTGGAGTCAGCCAGACCAGTATTTGAGTCCTGCCTTTCCATTTACTAGCTGGATGGCTTTGAACATGTTTCTTAATCTTCCCATAAGTCAGTTTTATCATGTTTCAATGGACAAAACTACCCATCTTGTATTGTTCTTAGAATTAAACAAATGCGGGCCGGCCCGGTGGCGCACTGCTACAGTGCGCAGCTTGGGAGTGCGGTGGCGCTCCCGCCGAGGGTTCGGATCCCACATACAGACCGGTTCCCGCTCACTGGCTGAGCGAGGTGCGGGCGCAACACTGAGGGTTGCGATCCCGTTGCCGGTCCCGGTCCGGTACGGGCGCAACACTGAGGGTTGCGATCCATTGTCGGACACGAAAAAAGACAAAAAGGAAAAAAAAAAAAAAAGAATTAAACGAATGCAAACTTGGTGCATCTCCAGGCATCTATTTAAGCCTTTTTTTTTTTTTTTTAAATCTATTATTGTTATACCTATTAGAACAGAGTATATTTTATATTACATTTTATTATTAAATTATTGATACTGCTGTTATCAATGATACATGCTATTATAAGGGACTGGGCACATTCAGCCCTCAGCATCCCTGGCACTTACTTGATTTTGACAAACTTCCGACACGGCACGGTGTTCCTCACACAGGTCTCCGTCAGCGGGTCTATGTCTTCCACAATGACAAAAGGGGCCTCTTCCAGGGTGACGATGCTCAGATGGTTGTCATCCGGCTCACAGTCAGAAAAGGATTTGTACCTCGGCCACACAGCATGCCTCAGGCTCAGGGTCTGGTTCTCCCACTTGCCCACCTGTATTGCAAACACAAAGACACATGTGCTTTCTTGTCCCCCTGACTTCTACAAAGGCAAGTCGTTCCCCAAAGGAGGCATGGGAGAAGAAATCCATCAGTCTTTAGGGCCTTTTTACTACATATCTCAACATATGCATCCACTTATGTGCCAAGAAAAATGGGGATAAAGAGATAATACCGAACAGCTCCCCATCCCAGGCCCCTCCAGAGAAGAATTAAATATGCATTGCAGGGGGTGGTGCCCAAGCACTAATACTTTTAGAGCTTCCCACGTCATCCTAATGTTCCACCAGAGTTCAGGACCACTGATAATCATGGAAACAGTGTGGACTTAGAATCAGGGAGGCCTGGGTCTGAATCCCTAACTCTGCCACTTACCAGCTGTACAACTCTAGGCAAGCTCTTAATTGCTACGAGCTTCTCTTTTCTCATTTGCAAAATAGACACAATTCCACCTACTTCCTAAGGATGTCATGGAAATTAAATAGGCAATGCATAAAAAGCAAAGCACAGTGCATGGCACACAGTAGGGACTCCATGCACTTTTTTTAAGTACGGAGGAGAGAAAATGAAAAGGAGAAAGATTTAAAAGGTGCTGCAACAAAGAAACAGAGGAAAGGGAAGAGGAAAATGCAATTGAAGAGTGAAGGAGAAGAGGATTGGGGGAAGAGACAATGCAGGAGGGCAGAGCAGGTGAGGAAATTAAAAGCATCATTTCAACCCCAGATATGGTTTCATTTAAGCTGCAAATGAAGGTGAATTTTTATTAATCCAGCGCAGAGTGGAGACTGTTACTGCTTAGCGAATATCAAGACCTGTCAAAATAGGATCGATTGAATTCCCTCTGAGCAGCAGTCAGCATCATAGTGAAATCAAATTGAAGACTGTGTGTTTTGAACCTTAATTTTATTTGACAGCTTATTGGCACCACTCACATACACACTGGGAGAAAGCTGCCCCCGCATTACTCTTCCTCCCTTCCCTTCCTGCTCCCACACGCAATTTCTTGACACCATAGGTCAACACTTTATTTGTTAATACCAACCTCGAGGAAAACACCTCATTTGAAAAGCTAAGTGCCAAGACCAGGCTTGTCTGTGCTGACGTGACCCACTCACCTCTCTTGCTGTAACGTGGGTGTCACCAGTAATGAATCTCAGGCCCAGAAAGAGAATTCAGACACCAGGAGGGGTGATGGGGTGAAAGAGAGGAGGAGAATCAGTGCTCTCTATGATTACCTCACCATTTGGGCTGGAAAATTTTTGCTGGCTGTAAAGAAACATCCTGTGTGGCTTAGTTACAAAATCATCCAGCTCTGCTGATACCTTCCTTTTTAAGGTAGGAAGGTCAGTAGAGTAATATGGCAATCAAGCGTGCTCATCTAGCCATGCTGGGATATGCAAAACAGAATGGGAGAACATTGAGCTCATCAAATTCTTCACCCATTAAACATAGATTTATTGAACACCTACTAAGTGCCAGCACCAGCCTGGGAACAGTGATGGATAAAGCAGAAAAACTCTTGCCTTCTTGTAATTATCAGTTGGTTGCAGGAGAAAGACCAAACTTATCATAACAAACATGCAAGTAGATAGAGATATACAAGATTTTCCTTTTGGAACATGTTGTACCAACTCCTTTTCTTTCCATTTATCTTGGAAAACACAGCCTTCAAGAGAGGCTGGGTGGGAGAAGTCTAACAGAACAGAGTTTTGAAATCAGAAGGAAGTGTTAATCCTGCCTTCATTCATTAGCTGAGTAGCCCTGGAAAAGTCATTCAACCTCTCTGAGCTTCACTTTCTCTGTAAAATGTGGAGAGCACCAGGGAAGGCTTTTGAGAGCTGCAGTGAAATTTAAATGAACCAATAATGTATGTAGAGCATGGAGCACACAACCCCACACGGCACGTAACATATGCAGTGGCTATTACTCTATTATTGTTGTTAGAGTTTAAAACATAGCTCAAATATCACCTTTTCTGTAAGGCTCATTCCTGATTTCTCTAGGAATATAGAACTTTGCATCTATCTCCACCACAGCATTTTGATACTATATTTATAACAATGTCACTTTTCAGCAATTCTGTGTACTTAGAAAATGTGCCAATATTATCAATTAGTTTATCCCCCACAAATCCTACATGGTAGGGATTATTATCCCAACTTCACAGTTCAGGGAACCAAAGCACACAGAGGTTATGCGACTTGCCCAAACTCACACAGCAAATAAGTGGGGGAAGTAGCATTATACTACGGGGCTGTCAGTATGCAAAGGTGCTTTTTGACTATGCACACAGTGCTCCTATTCATTGAGCTGCAGTGACCATGTAATAATTCTAAGCCTTTTCCTTTTTTGCAGACATGGCTTCTAATGTCTCAAGGTAACATAAATTAAGGCAAAGATCGCTTACCTAGCAAGCTCTTTGGTGATGTCATTGACCACATCACAAACCCTGCCCCATGGGAGTCAAGTAAAAGTTCCAGGCTAAGGCTGACTCATGGAGAGAGAGGTGGCAAAGGTTTATGAGCTCCCAGAGTGCAATAACTTCCTAAATCTTCTCCAAGTTTCACTCTCTCTCCTTTTCTAATATGTCCGAGCAAGGACCCACGGGTCAGTCAAGGAGGGTGGAGGCAAGTGGTGGGTAGAAAGAACTTGGTCAGGAACTGAAGTTGCTATGTAAATATTTCCTTAGATCCTGAGAGCTCTTTCTTCCTTCTCTGAGTCTCATAGGCTCCTCAGTACCCCATTCCAAACACGAAAAATCCCAACTATAAAATTGTATATACCAGATAGGGGAGAACAGACATTTACCACTTTTCACTCCTGTATTCCTAGGGACTGGAACTGAGCCCAGGGTTTGTAGACAGATTCAGCAGACATCCATCCATTCTGTAAGTGTTTATTAAGTGTCTATTAGGTGCCAGACACTGTGCTAGACACTGAGGATACTGTAGTGTAAGCAACGAAGTTTTTGCTTGCATGAAATTTATATGCTAATTGGAAAGACAAATGAGTCAAATAATCACACCAAAACAAACATCATACGAACTAGGAGGAAGAAATAAGATGTGGGTTTAAGAGAACATATAGAGGAAAAGAAACCAGAGATGGCTTCCCTGAGGAGGTAGCACTTAAACTGAGCTCGGCAATCCAGTATGAATTGGAGTGGGGGCTGGGGTAGGGGTTGAGGGGCAGCAGAGGAAGGGACAGCACTCCAGACAGGCAGGGGTCAGATGATGCAAAGCCTTGCAGTTCTGTTAAGAAGTTGGGATTTACCCCAATAGTTTGCTGTGGACTGAACATTTGTGTCCCCCTAAAATTCACATGTTGAAAGCCTAACCTCCAAAATGATGGTATGAGGAGATGGGGCCTGAGGGAGGTGATTAGGTCATGAAGGCAGAGCCCTCACGATGGTTTAGTGCCTTATAAAAGAGGCCCCAGAGAACTCCCTTGACCCTTCCGCCATGTGAAGACACAACAAAATGTGGCCGTCAATGAATCAGGAAGCAGGCCCTCACCAGACACCGAATCTGCCAGCACCATGATCTGCCAGCACCTTGATCTTAGTCTTCCCAGCTTCCGCAACTATAAGAAACAAATTTCTGTTGTTTATAAGCCATCCAGCCTGTGGTATTCTATTATAGCAGTGCAAACAGACTAAGAATTAATCTAGTCCACTAGCTAGAATGGAAAAGAATATAGGAAAGCCATCGTGGATACGTATATGTCCATACATAACCTGACAGAAGGTGGAAGCTCTCGCCCCCTAAATATAAGGGCTTTTTTTCTTTCTTATTATAAAATTTTTTTTAACTTATACAAAAGTAGAATAGTATGAGGAACCTCCATATTCCCATTACCCAACTTCAATAATTACTAACTTGTGGCCAGTCATGTTTCATTTATATTTCAATTCATTCCTCCCATATTATATTGAAGGAAATACCAGACATCCTGTAATTTCACTCATAAATCCTTAATTTTATTTAAATATCAATATTCATTTGCTTGACAATATTATACCTTAACAATCTATGTGTTTATGCATATGTTTCACTCATTAGACTATAATTTTCCAGAATAGCAGGGATTTTATGTACATATAATGATTAGTTTCTGTGTCCACAGCTTCTAACTCAGAGCCTGGCATATAGAGGGACTTAATGGATAATGGTAGATGGAATGAATAAACATACACCCTGACTTCTTAAAAAATGTCCACAAGTCAGAAAATGTTAGTAAAATGATCAATGTGTCCATATGTGCCTCAGTCATGAAATCTTGCAACCTAAGCAAAATACTGAAATATCAAAGACATGTATTCTCTCCCTCAATCTTACTGCAATTTCCCAGACTCAGAGCCATTAAGGGTGGCTGTCTGAATAGTCTCTGGGTATTAGATTTCTCCAGAGAGAGCAAATACTATTATGCTGGCACCATTTAAAAAGTGACCCTGGCCACACTGAAGTGTTGAAAAGAAAAGCAATATCCAATGGACTAAACCCTGATTGAAAGTCAAGAAGCCTTAATTTCTATTGTCACATTGTCTCTGCTTACTTCAGTTTTCACAGGCATTAAAAGGTATAGAATATGAATGCTCCAAATGCCTGTCTAAAATGGAAGAACCCTCTGCACTCTGAAGACGGTAACCACCAATCTCTCTGTTTCCACTGTGGACCCTGCTATTTCCTAAACTGAACCTTGTTCCTCTTCCCAATCTCCTATACAGTGGTGCACACCACACTAACTGAGTGTGCAACTTTAGATCAGCAATTCTGAACCATATAAGCTACGCCAAGGAGTGAGCCAACACCAGGGTCGCACCACATTTCCTCCAGCAGTGCTTGCTGGGATAAGTTTTCAAAGCATGTGAGCGAGTAGATGCAGTCACTGCTTATCACATGTTCCTATTTCTGGACCTCAAAGAAAAAAATGAAGTTCCAGGACACTTTGCCAAACTTCTGGTTAGATTTATACATGACCAGGACAGGAAAGCAC